ACATACATACATACATACATACATACATACATACATACATACATACATACATACATACATACATACATTCATACATACATACATACATTCATACATACATACATACATACATACATACATACATACATACATACATACATACATACATACATACATACATACATACATACATACATACATACATACATTCTACCGGTAGAGGAAAATGAAAAAAAATTGAAAGCCGTTGCCGTGATGTCTACAGTCTACAGTACGTATGTGTACGCATTGGCAGGGGTCATAATATATGACCCCTGTGTCTACGTACGTACATCGACTCGTTCGACTGGACTTCCCGGGTTTGAATCAAACATTGTGGGTCTTTTTCAGTTCTATCGGTACATGTAGAAATGCCCGGAACTCCAAAAAAATAGCGCAACTCAAAAAATAATTCTGCAAGAAGAATCATAAGAAATCAGAAATGTCAACACACGGTGAACTGATTGAAAATTGATGTATTTCTCACTTTTCTTTTGTTTACCTCAAGAAAATCAATATGAACAATATATCTTCCCTGTTTGCACTGTTGATTCAATATCGCTGACAAGTAAACATAATTCTTTCGATGAAGGGCTAACTCTTTGACCATCTTTCACGAAAATGAGTGTCGATAAACCGTGTTTCACCTTGTTAGTCTGCTTCTTCCCTTGGTGGACCGGCAAGAAAAAGTATATTAGGGACAACACTGAGGAATATGAAAGCAATGATGACCAAAGCAATGTCGTTGACGCGGGTGGTAGAGACTTCGCTGCTGTGAATGGTTATGAAAACCAAAACCTACACTGGTACAAAAATAAAGAGGAGAATAACAAGGGCGAGGGCGAGGATGATGGAGATGATTATAAAGGAGACGATGAAGATGACGATGACGATGACGATGACGATGACGATGACGGTGACGGTGACGGTGACGGTGACGGTGAGACACTCGAGTATGTTGAATTTGTTGAACACAATGAGGAAGGCGATGACGATCACGAGGTTCAGGTTGCGGAACTTATCCCACTCGAGGTTGTTGTGGTTGTTGAACATGACAAGAAAGATGACGATGATGACGAGGTCCAGGCTGTGCTCTCCCCCCACAGACGCAATCGCCGGAGTGAGAAAGGTCGTACACGTAGAACTATAGAGTACAGTAAAGGAACTATTATCAGAAAGAAGTTTGATGATGGGAACCATTACGATGGTGAAATCATATCATATGATAAAGAAAAGGGCTGGTACAAGATCATGTACGAAGATGGAGATGGTGAAGAAATGTCTCACGATGATGTCACAAAATATTACAAACACTTCCAAAGTTACGAAGGTTAATAGATTGATTAACTTAGATGGTTCTTCGTTTGTTTCTTGGCAGTTGAATTTTTTTGCATGTTGTGTGTACTGCAACGTGAAATTAATGTTTTTTGGTGTAGAAGCTTCTACACTGAACTGAACTGAATTGGATGGATCAAAACTGTTTCTTGTGGTTGAACGAATGCATGGTGTGGGTATGCCCGAGACACAGAGAACGGAATGGACCAAACGTAATGAATGAATGACAAAACAATGCTTTTATAAACAGGAGCAGTAGATCTCTATCGGTTTTCATTTTTCAAATATTGATTACGAAGACTTTTATGGATAGACGTAGGAAGATAGTATCCGTTGCTCTGTTATTTCTGAACGGCGCGAATCTCGTCGAGCCATCCAGAGAGGATGGCAGTGGCTTCGTCGTATCCCTCCAGGATGTCTGCCGTCTCGTTGGGATTCGGGTAGGTATGGCTCAGGTCGCTGTGGTGGGCCCCATTGGGGAAATTCAGCACCCGGAGCTCTTTGTACCCCGGGCCTTCGAGCTCGGTCGCATTGGTCATGCTCGAGGTCTCCCAGCCGTCGTTCAGGCCGTTCGCAAAGACGATCCGCGAGGTTGCCGTCAGGTTGTTTCCAAAGTGCCACTGCTGGTTCATCCGGTAGGGTTCCACGACGATCCCGGGGAACCGGGCCCTGCAGTGCTCCTCGTGCCACTCGTACGAAAAGGGACGCGGCAAGAACATGCTGCGCTCGGAATACCCGGCGCGGACGATCAGGTCCTTGCAGCACTGGAACTCCCAGATCTCGCCGACGTGGCCGCCGCCGGTTCCGGAATTGTCCGACCCGCGGATGCGGGAGTGGGGCCCGTCGGGGAGTTCCTGGCTTAGGTCGAAGCACCTTGCGTCGCTGCCGTCGCTGTCGCCCTCGACTCCGTAGGCTTCGGCATCGCGCAGGTCGAAAAACTGCCTGATTTTGTCCATGGGAGATGCTAGTGCATCGGGTTGCTGGAAGATGGCACAGGCCTTGGCCAGGGCCGTATCGGGACCCGGTGGATAGTACTCCATGTTGAAATCGGCAAAGATGGCCGGAACCAGGTACTGAATCGTCTCGCTGACGAATTCCTCGATGCCGGAAACGTAGCCCGGGAAGGTATCGGGACAAAACCCGGTGGCGGCCGCGGCCCGAAGAATGTTGTCGCCGCTTTCGTCGTCTGCATAGTTGCTGTAGAGATCGTCGCGGACGGCAAAGAGGGCCGACCGGACGGCATCGGGGCAACCCTCCGAGGCGAGCTCGGCCACGTCGGTCACCTTGTCGAAATACGCGTCGCTGTCCACCAGCTGGGAATACAGCTGGAGGGGTGCCGAACTCGCGTAGGAAATATCGATCAAATCCGGGAACCGGAACCGCAGCATTGCGGACAAAAAGCCAGGATAGGATCCACCAAACTGTAGAGAATCAAAACCGCGGGCAAACAACGAGGCAGATAGAAAGAAAGTGAGAGGCCAGGCGGAACGAGAACGACGAACTGTGGCCCAGGGGAGACGCGCATGCCACGACTCGACGCGACACGAACGAATCAATCGAACAACCACCGAGCAGAGCAGTAGTTCATTCATTCTACACTCACGGTAATCACGGGGCAGTATCCGGGCTTTGTCCGATCGGGATCGCATCCCAGCTCGTTCCGAACGTACTGGATGAGCTGAAGGGCATCCTCTAGAGCCTGGTCGGGCGACAGGTACCTCATCATCTCGTCGACGCTTGGCCGACCGCCCGGCACCGGCTGCGATTCTCCGTAAAACCGGTGCTCCGGGCTCACCACGAATGCTCCAAACTCCGAGGCGAGGCGTTCGTATACAAACGGATAGAGCAAGCCTAACAAGGTATCCTCTCCCCCCATGATAACAAGGATGGGATGCCCGGGTCCACCAAAGTTGCGAGACATCTTGTAGTAGCGCTGGCTGTAGGTTCGTCCATCGTCCATGTGAAGGTGATCGACCTGTTGATCGTCGTAGTAAAGGGCCGCTTCGTCGTAGGCATCGTCCAGTAGAAAGGAGGCTGAATAATTTTCGTYGCCGCTGTCGAGAAAGGAAACCACCGTTCTTTCTTTCGACATCGGCCCGTATTGTTCGAAGCTGCTCAAAATCCCTATCCACAATACGGAAAGGACAACTAGGGAGGCTGCCGTGATCCTGCGCCCCGTTATCCAGGAGGGGATGAACCGTCTGCTATCGGTGTTGCTAGAATCGGTAGAGTCTCCCGTTAGAAGCAGGTTGGTGGCTTCATCGGTGTGGCTGTCGTCAGTCACTGGTATGCTCCCATACAAGGGGGCCGTGCGGTTTTTGTTGGAGACCATGGTGATACGTTGCTCTTTTGTTTGTTTGGCAACGATTCTATTCTTGTTGAAGGAGAAAAGAAGAGTTGRGTTGTTCGTTGTATTAATGCTGAATACTGTCTTATGTTTACTCCACCGAATCGGTTGAATCGGTCGAACGCGACAGCTGAGCCATTTCTTTCGATCCAATCCGATCCAATACCGCAGCGCATTCAAAAAATTCCTCCTGCAATTGCATCTCGGGAAACGGCAAGTCCTGCTGAAACGTATTTGCTACAGTACTCAGGAAGATACGGATCCGATGCATGCAATGTGTGATTGGCGATTCATTCGATGCGTGATGACATCCGTCATATCGTACATCATGTCCGTCTATCACAGGTTGGATGCCGGTTGGTTCACCCATGATTCTGGAAGATCGAGAGTCTTCATCGACATCATTCCTGCTACTCCGTCCAAGAAATAAGAGCCTGTTTTGGCGATTTTCCTCCGTGCTTTCGTTTGTGTAAAATTGTCGGAACGAAGCTAACATTCCTTTTGATTTCATTGGGCATCAAGTGAAACTGTTACTTCCATGATTTTCAGAAAAAACGAAATACTCCGACTTTTTGGTGAAATTGCAAAGCCGTATTGTATTCGAATTCATTTTACTCGAACAGGTCGAATAAAAACACCAAAATATTTCCAGATTCTTCGTGCACRATTGAAGATTCGAATGCTCGTAGAAGTACCGTGCAAACAGCAGGGGTGGCACAAATCGGAATGAAAATGACCGTCACTCACCTTTCACGAACGGATAGTGAACGTGCAGTACGACATAACGCGTACAATAACGGGTGTCAAACGCAGAGGTGCAACAACCCAAAGATCCCATTGCCTACCGTACGTACCGTACCGGCCGGTAGAAGTGTCCGCCGATGTGGTTCAGTCTGTTCTAGGGGTTTCAATGGTACCGTATCTCTAAATGAAGGCGGAAAAGCAGTCTTTTTTGCCATTTCTCCTTCTCGTCATTTTGGAACAGAATTCCATCAGAACACCGAGCCTACTTCATTGGAACTCACAAACTCTCAACAACGCACAAACACACAAAGTTCAGAGCACAAGAACGAATTCAACTACTATACTTACTTCCAACCATACCGGAAGTATTGTCTACAAGCTGACATTGTCATTTGAGCAACGCACAACGCAAGGAAGAATCCGAATTCTTTGTCGACCAAAGCAGAATTTCAATCCCAGGCAAAAAAGAACAAGAATAATCGCATAGAAGAGGAACCGAAAGAAAACGAACCATGCCGATCCATACCGCTCGTCACCGAACACCCATCTCCGTCGTCGCTTTTGCTTTGTTGCTTTCGATCGGCAGCACACGCAGCAACAGACAAGTCCTCGCCGCTCCAGCCCCAACGTGCCAAAGCTTCGGCGAGAGCTGGTATTTCCCCAACAGTTGCGTGGCCGACTGCACCGCACAATCCGACGGAAGCAGCACGATGGACACGGATCGATCCCGAAACGTGAACGGAGATTTAAAGTGCTATTGTACCGGTCGGGAATCCCCTCTCTGCGCCGACGATCCCATGTGTTCCGACCTAGAAATCCTCCCGGGATCCGCCAAGGAGAGCTGCGAGGCGGTTTGCGGAAGCAGCGGCGGTTCGTCGGACGTAGTAGTAGTAGACGACGTGGAGTACGCGGGCGACGCTTCCGCGGCCAACAAGAACCAGACCCACTTTCGGGTGGGATGCTCGTGCGATGGGGGTGCCACACAGGTATGCGGCACCGACTACGTCCTCTTTAGCGACCTTACCTACCTCAAGTGGTGCACTAGAAAAGCCGACAACAACAGCCTACAGATCAAATCGGCCGAAGCCTGCGACGCCTACTGCACAAAGACCAACCCCCTGTTCGACGGGGGAATCTGGAACGACAGCGCCAAATCATGTGCCTGCAAAGAAGACTCGATGGAAGTTTCTGCCGTGGCTTGCGACGACTCGTCCRCCAATACCAACGACGGGAGTGGCCTGGGCAATCCCTGCTATGAAAATGTGGGTGTGTCGACCGCCGATTGCTCGTCGTCGTCGAACGCAAACGGGGAACAACCATCCACTACCCAGACACTGGTGTCATCGGCTGCGATCATGGGAATCTGGCTGCTGCCGTGGTAAATGGGAAAAAGAAAAAAGGAATACTAAAACCAAGCTTGACAAGATTCAGTTGAGGACAGGACGTGTAAAATAAAATAGTAAGGCAGATGATAATTTGTCCAGACTTTGCCTCTAGATTGGATTTCATGGAATTCCGTACACTATCGTCAATTGCTCTATGTTCATTTATGGACATAAATTTTGTTGAAAAACAATCAAAATGTGCCAATTGCACCACAAGTCTTCGTATCGAAAGCAAGCAAGATCCTCCGTTGACTTCTCTACTACAATCAGTTTCGAAGAGGAAACGAAGCGCATGGACCAAAGCGGATGACTCGTAGGTCGAGTGAGTTATTGGGAGAACTAGGCATCATATATCTAAATCAAAACCAGGACGTTGCGTTCCATTTTGTCCGATGACGAAGAMGAATTGTGCTGCCCCAAGTGGAATGAAACCATGTCTAACTAAAAATCGTTCACACCCAAACAAAAATAGGTGACAGCAGCAACTCCAGAAAACATCATCGTCATCCGCCAAATTGGTGCCCAAGCTGCTAGGTTGCATCGAAAGGAAAAGTTTAGTCCACCGCGGCATTTGGCTTGCATTGCATTGGATCCGTCTTGTCTAAATTTTAAATATACCAGGTTCGATGTGGTATGAGGATTCCAGCCAAACAAAGTGACGACCAAGACGAAACAAGTAAGCGGGGGAGGATATAAGAACACGCCGCTTGTTCTTGTGATTTTTTGGTGCGAGTTGATTGATCTTGCCCTGTCGCTGGTTCGGTGTCTCACTCATCCAATAAAGACATTTTCGCAAAACAACAGCTTTCTCGAAAGTGTGGGACACCTTCGTCGGAAGAGTCACAATCACACATGTTGCCCTGTTTCCTACGTTTGGCGCTGTCCAGTTGTTTGAACACGTACGTAAAGCTCTTGCAGACCTGTTCGTTGGCGATCGCCTTCTGTTGTTTGTTGTAATCGCGAAGCGAAATGGCAACCTTGCTGCGAATCTCGCTCCTTTCTTCTAGGACAACCCACCAGCCTCGTTTGTCCCAGCCCAAAAATCTCCCGCCCTTGGACTCGATCTCTTGCACAATCTTCCACACCAGATCCCTTTTTCCCGTTTGCCCCGCCTTGACGTGTTCGTCGTGGTATTTTTCAAAAATGCCGCGGAACACAACGTTTCCCGGATGGAGCATGCAGGACTTGCCCGCAGAACGAAAAATAACGTCCTTCATGCCTGGGCATTCTAGGATTCGGCTTCCCTCGCTTTTCAGAGATTCCATCATTTTCTTTGTTTTGATCCATTGTGCAAACGTTTTGGTTTTCAGTGTTCCAGTTCCCGTTGTTGGTATCAGAGCGACCGGAATTCCATATCCCATCAGCTCGTATAGCATTTCTATTCGCTCTCCTGTAGGATAGATATTTCGCACGCGCATTCAATATGAGTTTTCAAGACAGCGACAACAAGAAAAAAATTGTGTCAACTTGCATCGTATCAAAAATATAATAAACCCCTAGACCTTGCAGTTGTGACATAGGAAGGAACCAAAAGAGTTTCTGTCACGTACCACAGTGAACCTTTACTCTTGTGATGCGCCGGAAATTTTGTTTCGCCATGGTCATCGAAAGCAACGCCCGTATAAGATTAAAAAATGGTGTGTTGGGAAAACAAAAATGGAAGCAAGCAAACCTAGTTGGCAAGCTATTTATGATTTTTGACACTAATGATCTGTGGCTCGACTCCGGCGGCCTAATTTCCTCGACCCCAGGCCAGAACAACATCAGACAACCGTGCTTTTGGGTTTCCACGTCTTCGCCCGCCACATAGGTTATGTAAAGAAAGATCTTGATCTATGAGAAGAGAGGGTTTTGAAAGAAAGCAAGTTGCACCTCGGGGTAAGTTGAGTTATTGTAAGCCTGCAAAAAGGTCTGGTTTGTGACTTTTGTGCTTTGCTTTTGCCTAGCTGGCGCTGGCTAATAAAAGCTTGGATAATCATCACTAAGCATTTCAATTTCGTCCTTACCCTCACTTTGGATTCGAGCTTCAAGCAATCAGTTACAAACACGATGATTCTTCTGCCACTCCGATCACGAAAGGGCAGCAGCTGAATATATCCAGCCCGAAGTCCGATCTTGAGTTCCTTTGTGTTGATAAAAAAATCCATCGAGTCGTCGAACTTTTTCAGCGCTTCCATTCCATACAACGTATGGAGTATATCCAAAAAAGAGATCATTCGCGCGACGGCTGCTTTGGCATCAAAGAAGACGAACCGCAAAAATCGTAACCGAAACGCGTCATCAGTTATAACATCTTTCGACACGGCGTTTTCCTCTTGGTTCATAATGGCATCGTAGGCAAACTTTTTCGCATGGTCCGCGTTCTCCAGCTCCTTTTCGAAGTTTCGGAGGGAGTCTCGGATCAGCTCGGGCGTTTCTTTGATCGCCATGCTGGAAACACCGTGGATCTCTTCGTAGATTGCATTTCGGTCGCGGATGGACAGCATACCTATTCCCTTGGCCACCATCGCGTCCACGTCTTTTGGGTTGATCGATCCCACCGACGCATCATCGAGCAGGGTGGCACCACTTTTCTCCCCTGGATGCATTGCTTGTTGCTTGTAGTCGTTGTTGCGTTGGTTTCCAACGATGAGGTCGATGCTGGTCGTTGAATCTGATCTTATCTATGTGGCGAAGCAATCTTTCTCTTTTTGATCTGTTCTGCTCAGTTCTCAAAAATTGTCCGGCTTGAATTATGAAGTTTACTTCGTGAGACCCTGACTCATCTAGCCGCTCCAGCTGCCGATACATAACCGATCCCATTGAAAAGTAGCGTAAGAGTACGATTACTGCTTCGTAATAATCAATGCTTTCTTCAGGCTTTCAAAAGAAGCATATTGAAGTCAAAGAAGGTGGCTCGGGCCACTAAAAAGAGTAGGACGTCATTAAAAATAAAATACAGTAGTCCACTATTAATTGGGAGAAAGAAAGAAACAGTCCATTTGTGATACAAAACTTCAAGGGTATACTAAAAGTGCTGGAACATTCGACCGATCAATCTTTTTAAATTCAAATCCTTTTCTTATTTTATTGGTACAGTACTGATTTTTTTTTTGTTAGCTCGAAGAAAAGAGAACCGGATTTGATAAATTGAATGCTTTCTTTATCTTAAAGTCTCTTTAGTAGAAAGATTTAACTTTTTCCCGTCGCGTGTTGCCAAATGTTGCCACCTGGAAAATTAAGGATTTTTTTTGGGGGGTACTACTACTACACTACTACTCCACTTACTATCACACCCCTCTCATCACTATAAACAATATTATAAGAACATATTTTAACAAATATAAATATATTCATTTATRACACATCACTACACTTGATGGTTGAAGTTACTCCAATGCTYTTTACATACAGCAACATTGCAACTTCTGCAACCACCATTCCTTGACATTTCTTTTCTACTAGTACTACTAATCCACCATGCTGCTGCTGGCAACTTCCTCAATCTCTTCACTGATGAGTTAGGATACCTAAGCTTTGCTTCTTCTACACAGATAACACAATAGTTCCTCTTTACTCCTTCATACTTGCCACTGCATCTTTCTTTATGTGGCTCTGACATTACCTTTCCATGAGCAATGGTCCTTCTTCTTGTCTTCTTGTTCACACAGAAGAAAGAACAAATCCTGCAATAGCAAGGGTGATATTTTCCATTCTTTGAAGTCNTTATTGGTACAGTACTGATTTTTTTTTTGTTAGCTCGAAGAAAAGAGAACCGGATTTGATAAATTGAATGCTTTCTTTATCTTAAAGTCTCTTTACTACGAGTTTCATAACAATTGCACATCGTCTTGCGCAGTGCGCAAGTGCTCTCGCCCAGAGAGCAAAAAGTAATAATTTGAAGTTCTAAACTTCAAAAAGTCGAATAGGTTCTACTGAGCTAGTTTTTGGATGGCATTCATGATTGATTCATGATTGATTCATGATTGAATCACCTCAAACCATTTTTAACCGCCCTGAACCATTTTGTTTTGTTTTGAGGGGAATCGTGATTCATCCATTCAGTCATTTTAAAACATTAGCTCAGTAGAACCTGGTACATGATGTACGAGCAAAAGTTCATAACTTCAAATCGAAGTTTAGAACTTCAAATTATTACTTTTTGCTCTCTGGGCGAGACCGTGTGCAATTGTTATGAAACTCGTAGTAGTAGAAAGATTTAATAAAGGCTATTATGGAAAAACGGCGAACACATTTTCAGTTTTTTTTGCGAGGCAATAACCATTAGTATTTTTCAATCCTCCCATCCATTCTCCCTCTCTCCCCCCTTGTCCCACAATATTTACTTGAMYAATTGTAATTTATGGCAGAGACAAAGACTGCTTCCATTTGAAAAAWTTGAGGAGGTCAAACAAGAAGAACAAGCAATGCAAACACTCAAAAATACCAAAATACCCTGTCATAGAATGAGGAAGAAAGCAGAAAACACACAAAGAAAAACACACCACAAAGAAATCATACCACCACCACCAATCACCATTATTCTTGTTCCCCCACCTATCCCTCCTCCAACATCATACTAGTAATAGTACTAATAACAGTAGTACTACTAGTATGGGTTACTATTACTATCAAAAATCTGTTACTAAAGATGGATTATAACACCATCAAAAATAATACTGCTGCTGATACTGCTAATACTACTAGTACTACTACTAGTAGTAGTAGTAGAAGTGTTTATCATCACTGTAGTATTATTCTTCTTGTACTAGCCGCAGCACTCCTCCTAGCCCTAACATCAGTACTAGCAGCTTGCAATAGTATCTGCAATGTGCTTGTGCTCCTCTGTAAAAAGTATTTCAAGATCACCAGGGTGCATTTCAAAATGTAGAATCCTATGTCTGGGGGGCCCTTTGGAAACTTGCACCAGGTCCTTTGGAACCCACACATTTAGGATTTGCTTGTTTGAACTAAAATTCATAGCTTATTTTATCAGAAAAATAACCCACAGCATTATCCAATGGACCCAGGAAAGAATCACCCCCAATGAGGACGAACAACCTGCAAAAAAAAAATCAGTTAATAGTAAGAGTTAGTACTAGTAATGTGTCCAAAGGAGAACTGAGGATGATAACAAGCATTGAAGATATATGTCTCAAAGGAAAAGCAGGATCCTTTGTATTTATGGGTTGAAAATTGTGCCCAATAAGATTGCTTTATTTCTTTGATTGTTCATCACACTTTCACCCAGGAACCCCAAATAATATCATTTAGGCTATTCCAAAATGGTGTTGGTTGTTTCATACATAGAATAACACATATTTTTCAATACCAACCTTCTGAATGGAAAAGAATAGGGGGGGATGGAGCAGGGCCACCCTGATGTATGGCAAAAGTGCAGTACTAGTACTAGCAAATATGACCTCCTCCTCACCAACACCACTATTCATTGTAAACTAGTAGTACTATTTTGTGATAGAGAGCAGGTCATACTTCACAAGGTGCTGTCAAGATGACAATAATGTCAGGAGGATATTACTAGTATGCAGAATACCATACAACTGGCAGTAGTACCATCCCCAATAGTGGTGGTGTACTACTACTACTAGTAGTAGTTGTAGCTAATATAGAGCACAACCATTACTACAACAAATACTAGTGGACACATTTACAATCATGATATTCTTGTGTCCCCCTTTTTATATCTTTTCCATGGTGGTGGATATTATTGTTCTGGAGAAGATAATTTCCTTTGGAGTAATTCTTGCTGACATCTGATACATTGTTACTATCATGTTACAACTACTACTGGTGGTGGTGCTACTCTTGTGAAACACAAGAAGAGGAATTACTAGAATGTGATCTCATTAGWACTGGCCTACTAGTACAACAAGAAATACTAGGAGATCCATCCCTTGGTTTGTAGTGATGTGCAGTACCATTTATTCTGGCATGATGAACAAAATATTTCACTAGTAGTCTTAGCACTGCTGGCTCAAATAGCAAACCCACCACTAGATAAGTGAAAGAATTTAAGAGGGTTCTTTGCACTCTCACTAGTAGTACTAGTASTAGTACTAKTACTAGTAGTTTTGTATCTGCTGGAGAGTTTTTGACACACCAGAACCCCACCAGATGGTGATCAAAATCCTGTGCCAACTTCTTCCCAATGGAGTACTACCCCACWACTCCTCTGCTTATCATGACACTATCTCACTTCTTGTTATCAGGAGTACTACTACAAACACCACAACATGATTAGAAGATTGTAAATAAACAGCAACATTATAACATTTCAACTTGTGCAACCAACATTCTTTGACACCTCCAAACTAGTACTAGTACTACTAGTGGAGGTACTAGGACTAGCTAACCTTGATSGTGGTGGCTTCTTCAATTTTCACATTGATGAATTGGGACTTTTCTTCTTCTGTGCACACAAGAAACAACACAATAGTTCCTCCCTCTTCCCTCATTCACGCTTTCCACCACTACAGCATATTTTTATGCATGRTGACAACTTTGAACTTCTTGTTATGTTGTACGACTTCTTCTTGCTGGTGTTTCCATGAGCAAAAGTGGCGGTGGTATTTTTGTTCCCACTGGTGGGGAATTGACAATAAACAAATCCTCCCAGCATTAAAGCAGTACTAAAGAGGGTGATCTCTATACTGCAAAGGCATCCATTTTAGCTAAGAATCCTTGTCATAATAGTATGCTGCTGGATCATTCCAATCCTTCTCAATGATATATTACTTCTTGTTGTTGTGTTTGTTGTTATTGTTGTTGTTGTTGTTGAGTATAGCTAGTAGTAGTAAATTTTCAAATGTGATTAATATGTAAGGGAATATCATGTTTTTATAACTCTGATTCTCCTCCTGGCATCTTCAGGTTACTAGTACTAACTCATGATCAAGCTTTAACAAGTTATTCATGCCTCATTCCCTGGTATTAATTCTTTTTACAAGGAACAACAAAACCAATGATCTGCTGCTACTACAATTCTGGATATTGAATGGAAGTCTCCGGGGATTGATTCTTGAATTGACAGAATTACTAGGAAGGTTATTATTGTTACAAGCTTCTAGGAAGGTTATTGTTGTTACCGGCAAATGCTACAAGCAAATCTTACCAACTGCTGCCACAGTTGTCCTTAAATGATGGAAATATCAAACTCACAACACATGTTGTCTCTGTTCTCAGCAAGAAGATTGTCAGCATCTCTTCTATTGCTCACACCCCACTTAATTAAAATGCCACAGATAGACAGACATAGTACCATCCAATATCTAAGGCAATGAATGACCTAGATTGAATACAGACCAATTCCTACCAGCAGCACTTCAGAAAGTTTCATTACTGAATGGTTTGAAACCAGAGGTGTGTTCTCCCAAGAAGTACTCCTACCCAAGATCCCCTTCTTCACCTTGGTTTACCACATCATCAAACATAACAAATTGGATGGCATCACTTTTTTGCAGGCCACCATCTATCACAACATTGGATTACAGGTTCTGACCTTCAGCACTCCAGTTCTTGTTCACCTGTCTGTAGTGTAGTAACAACAAGTTTGTTTTTTCTGCTCCTAGCAATGTCCTTGCAACAACTACAAGTAGTAATATTAGTATGATGGGAACAACACAAGAAAGAAAACCTTTGTGGTGGGCATCATGACTAGTCTCAGAAATAGGCACTGCAATAAGAATGGATGACAAAGAACGCCCAGTGCACCAGCACTGCATGTTTACCCTGAAGTCCCAAACTTATCCAATTGCATGGCAATTTATTTTCTCTACT